TATATAATTTGGCCAATACCATTCCCTAGAATTTTCCCCCTCCTTCTACCTTCAGGCTTCTTTGGCTTTTATGCGAGGCTATGTCCCAATTCTGTTACCTAGCTGGCTCCAGAAGGTATTTAAATTTGTATGACATTTAATAGAGCTTGAAATGACTATTTCTAAACACTGAAATTTACATTTCATTATAATAACTAGTAGTCCTATAAAACATTTTGATTGCAAGGACTTAACCCTAAAGCTTTTTGTTTTTATTCAGAAGGTTATGGTGGATACAGGCTTGCTTTTTGTTGTTTGCTTGCTTTTTTAAGTTTCCATGGATCATTGTGATGATAAACCAGGTTTAGAAATCACTATATTAAATAACTCATAAAATTCTTTCTAAAATGAAGGGTATAAGTCTTAAGATGACAGACTAATTGTACTGTTAAGCAATGGTTTGGGGAAGTGTATTTAGCTAAATTTTTAGTAAAATATTTTTTTGGGGGGGAGGTTCATCAGTAGTAGGAAGAGTGAAGAATAAAAAGAATAAAGACCAAGCAGCTCTTTACTTTAGGCCTAGCCTTAGTAGGTCATGCTCAACACCAAAGAAGGAAGATTTTTTTTTTTTTTTGGAAACAATTATGAAGTAAGTTATTATTTTGAAAATGTATTTTATCTCTGTCTCTCATAGATGAAAGTTTTAAAAGTAAAGATTTCTAAAAGACCTATTAAATATAAGTAGACAAATGAGTTTCGAGAAGCATTACTTTTTAAGTCTTTATGAACGAGATTGTACTATCCACTTGGAGAGGAAATAGTACAGAAAAATAGAGCCCCACACCAAATCATTCCCTCTCTCATTAGTACAATATGCATATACCAACATAACTTTAGAGTCTAAATGAGTTCAGAGAGCTCAGTCCAATTTATTAAAATGAGGTTTTATGTAAGTCATTAGAGATTGCAGACTAGGTTATAACTGTTGAATGTTTAATACTGATTGTATTTATGGAAGATAATAATGCTTCTATGCTTATAAATATATAATAGCATAATGGAAGCCCTCCATTAAATGTTACTAGTCTCTATAGCATGTACCTGGAATGTGCTTTGTCCCAGAATTCTATGATATGGTGGGAGGAAAGAAAGTGAAGAGGGGCATCAAAGAAGATACTTGAACACCTGGAACAAATGTCTTTTCCTCCACTTCCTTTGTATTTTGTAATACTGCAACTCATCTCAGTTGTTTCACTATTATCTGAAAAGGGGACAGAAATTATCTACTGAGGAAACTATTGAAAAAATCTAACTTATGGGCAATATTTTATCTCAAAGACTGATTTTCTTATTAACATTCTAGGTAATTAAGCAACTTGGATTTAAACTTCAGGACACCTAAAGTTATTAACCTTTTCCCCTTAAACACACACTATAAGATCACAAGTTCAAGGCCTGCCTCACCAACTAAGCAAGGCTCTAAAGCAACTTAGGGAGACCCTGTCTTAAAATAAAAAACAGCAGGAGATGTGGCTCAGTGATTAAGCACTCCTAGGTTCAATCCCATGTATCAAAAAAAAAAAAAAAAAAAGTGGAAGGGGGTGGAGCTGAGATGTGACTCAGTGGTAAAATGCCTCTGGGTTCAATCGTTATTACCACCCCGCCCACCCCTGCAAGAAAAAAAAAAAAAAAAAACACTACCTGCCTCAGCCAATTGAGGCCAAGTGAGATACTAGCCCATTTTCAAGTCTTACTTCCACCCTGTTGCTCCCTGACTGTGTACTTATTACAGTACTTATCACATTGTACCATAATTCTCTATTTACTGTCTGCTTTACCAAAAGAATGGAAATGCTTAGAATATATGACAGTATATGGCTTGTTAAACCTCTCGTGGGGAAAGAAAAAAAAAAAGTGCCAGGAAGTATCTCCCAGATCTGGTTCACAGAAAAAAATGCCTCAGCCTTACTGTCAAAGGATCTAAGAAAATGCCTGTGAGCTCTATTATCTCAATTCACTAACCAGTCCTAACAATGTATAATCAGTTCTATCAATGTAAACAAAAATTTAGGGCTATCCCCATTCTCCTGGGAGTGCCAACATATTTTACAGTCCAGAAAATCTTGCAAGTTTCCTTTCTCCATTCTCGCCTCAGAGAGACAGGAGTAAGCCAAATTACTTGGACTGTGATTTTGGCTGTCCGTGTATACCAAAGTCCTTTCATGATCTCACAAAAACTGGGCCACTGAATATAAGATTTATGCCCTAACAAGTAAACTGGCTTTGGAGTTGTACCACTACTGGTACCAAGTAACTCTTCAAAAGAGCCCTTGAGTCTGTAAGAAAACAGACACACCAGAGTCCCTACAGAACTAAGACACATTTTCCCAAGCCAGGATTCACCTGCAAATCAGGCTTAGATTTTTACCTAGAACTAAACAACCATTTCCTGTCTTTGAGCTGCCTTCCTCTGAGCTCCCTCAACGTTGGCACACTTTGCTTCTCTATATTGAAATTGCCTATTGATAATATTTGCCCTGCCAAACTGCACCATGTAGTTCCTGAGCATCAGGGAACTGAATCATTTTCTGTTTTAGATTCCCAATGCTTACATGGTAGGTGCTAGCTAACATCTGTTGCATTGAACAGAACTGAATTCTTCTAAGCAGATTTCTCTGCCCAACCTCTCAAGGCACTGGAGAAGTAAACAATCAAGACTCCACACCCAGCAATGACCCTGTTCTGGTGACCTTTAGCAAGCCATTCCCTATGCTGGATCTAATTACTATGTATCACAGGAATCATAAAATTTCCACTCAGATCAGCAGAAACAATAAAAATAATGTGTACCATTCTATAAAGTGTCCAAAGCTCTTCAGAAGAGAGGAAGGAATGTTCAAGCTTTCTATAAAAAGGGGGACAGTATATCAGACAGCTGAGCAGAATCTCACAAATAGGATAGGACTTTACTACATTGCTCATGCTTGCTTTTTTAAAAAAGTAAACTTTTTACATGAGAACAGTTTTAGATTTACAGGAAAAAAAAATGCAGAGTTCCCAAATACCCTTGGCCCAGTTTCTTCATTATTAACATCTAATATTAGTGTGGGACATTTACTATAAGTAATGAACTCATATTGATACATCATGATTAACTATATTCATATTTACTCAGGGTTTTTCCTGGTATTCTTTTTCTGTTCCAGGACTGCATCTAGGATACTAGCTGCTTTCAGTCATCATGTTTCCTCTTGGCTAGGAGAGTTTTTGAGATTTTCCTTGTTTGGATGCCTTGGACAGTTTTAAAGAGTACTGGTCAGGTATTTTGTAGAATGCACATCAACTGGGATTTGTCTGCTGTTTTTCTCATGGTTAGATTGCAGTTATGGGTTTGAAGGAAGACAATGACAGAAGTAAAAGGGCATTTTCTTCCTTTCTGCTTACTAAAAGTCCTGTGTCAATCCCACCCCGTGCTCCCGTCCATTGCCCCAAAAGCTCTTATTATGTCAGTAGGGCCTGCTAGGATCCAGGACAGAAGGCGTTATTGCAGTGTATATTATGGAAAGTCATGCTTACCCTGTCGGATATCACTAGCAGCAACACAATCCTCAGAAAAACTTTCCTGAAGGGCTGACCTTAGACTCTCAGGCCAGAGGTTCTCCGTGGCTTTTGATAGTGAGCTGAGCTGACAGGCACCCCAACCAAAGGCAACAAGCCTCTGGCATGGAAGACCCAGCAATCCTGCTAACTAAAGTGGTAGAAAACAATCCTTTCTAAGTGATGCAAGACTGGAGTGTGGAGTAACAGGGACATTAATATGACCACAGTCAAAAGCACCTGGCAAAGAAATACACTCAGGTGCAGCAGAGTGGCAAAGCCTTGAAAAGTAAAGGCAGAAAATTTAAGGATATACAGGGGAAAACAGGTGGTGTCTAAGAACCTGGACTCTGACTTGGCTCTGCCACTGCTTTATCCAGTTACTGAGTCAGTCACTTCACTGTTTGGGCCTCAGCTCTGAATAGTGGGTATAATAGTACCTTTGCCTTGTAGAGTTTTATGAGGATCAAAGAGATAATAAGGAAGCACTGACAGGCTGCCTCATGCCAGTGCTCAATACATATTAGTTGTTATCACGATTATATTAAGATTGGAGTAGAGCTAATCTCCGAGGCATGATAGAGTTAAAACCCTAAGATTCAGAAGTTTCTAGATAAACTAGCTGGGGGAAAGAATTCAGAGCTCTTGAAAAAATTCAGGAAATTCATTTTAAAAAGCAAAACACAATCAAACAAAAAACTTCAATTACAACCCCCCACACACCTGCTGACACACGGACTCAGTCACTGGGAGAAGGCAGATGCTTGGCATTTCTTGGATGGCTGAGTCATACTTCCTCATGTCCCCTCCCACACAATTTCAATTTATAATCATATTTACAGGGCAATTAAACAGGGATAAGTATGCTGCACTGTCGAGGGACATGAAACAGATCCAAGCCAACTTGGCCCTTCTTGAAACAGTGTACTTGGATTCAAACTGTAGAGGCAGCCAGCTAATGATTTGCCACTGCAAACAAGCTTCTACATTTACTTTCATCCTGGAAAGGATTAGACCAATTCAGGTATATTAAAGTGCTTGTAATCTGTGAAGTAATTTTAATTGATAAACACGGTAGGTTCTGTTAAAATCTCTGGCCAGGTCTGGGACTGAAGAAGGTGGTAAGAAATGCAGTGATTTTTTTTCCCTCTTCATATATCTTCTGCAAATTTGATAAAAATAATAAAGAGGACTAACTGAGCCCTCAATTTGTGCTGGTTACAGTTCTATGATCTTTACATGTATTAACTCATTTAATCCTTGTAATGACTCTGAGTCGATACTGTTATTATGCCCCTTGTTAAAAATGTAAATAACTGGGGTGCAAAAAAAGTTAAGTGAATTGTTAAAAATCAAACAGCTAAATGTAGCTATTTCAGCTGGGACTTGGATTTGGTTGTATGTAACATCAAACTCAACATGGCTTAAACAACTTATAGTTTAATTTTCTCTTGAATAAAAGAAGGAGGGAGGTAGGAATCAAGAGTTAGAGTGGCAGCTCCACCAGTTACACTCAGACTCATGTCTTTCTTCTCTCATCTTCTTACTGCATGATGTCCAATTTTAGGTTCTCCTCAGTAGCCCAAGACCCTGTGCCAAATAGCAGAACTGTATGTCAGTTGAAAGAAAAGAAAGAGGGAAAAAGAGGGCCTCTTGGCTTTTCCACAAGTCCCACCTTAGAACTTCCCATAACATCTCATTAACTACCCCTTCTGCAAAGAAGGCTGGAATATACATTTTTAAAAGTTGGGCACATTTGTCAAGGTTCTGTACCAAAGGAGGAGGATCCATGCACCATAAAACACTGCTTCTCAGACTATAACTGTGCTTTTGGTTGGCAGATGAAGAGAAAGCAATATTATTGTCTTTACTTCCCACTTGGAGTAGTCACTTTGAAAATACAAACAAGGTAGGGCACACAATTTAAAAAATTAGAACTTTCCCTTGTCCACAATTTACTCATAATTGATTAAATTCTGTAATTTCATAGAACTTAAATGGTCACTTTAGAGTCTTACAACCAAGATTAAAGGAAAGAAGTAATATAGCCAGATGTAGTGGTGAATTCCTATAATCCCAGCAACGCATGAGGCTGAGGCAAGACGATCTCAAGTTGTAGGCCAACCTCAGCAATTTAGGAAGAACTTATATCTCAAAATAGAAAATAAAAAAGGATTGAGGATGAGCTCAGTGATAAGTGCCCCTGGTTTCAATCCCTATTACTGCAAAATAAATGTATTTGTGTAAAATAATTTTCCCCCATATTTTTATTCTGAAATTTTAATCTGAAGCGTACCACCCCTGCAGACATTAGTCTCAGATTTCTCTTTCAAAGAGTAATTGTCCAGTTTTCATTTGTCTTTCTAAGGGAGAAAAAGGAAAATAATATTTGAATTATATATTTAGAGAATTTCCAAATTGAGTTATACTAAATTATGGCTAAAACCTTTCTTTGACCTCAGTTTCTTCAGTTGTAAAGTACATATATTCATTTGTTCATTTGTTCATTCATTAATTGAATAAATACTTATTTGGAACTTTATAGATATCAGATATTTTATATTTGATAGTCATTTTTGTTTTACTGTTAACAACATAATGGGGTAATGTAAATAAAAGTTTGTTACTTCTATAAGTATTTTTATGGTTAAATAGAAAGTATTTCTTTTCATACAAGTAAACCAAACTGGTCTTGATGGTATATTGAAAAAAGAAATTTAAAATTTCTCTTGAAATTATATGACATAAATATTTCAACAAAATATTTTTACCCAGAAAAAGTATATTTTATATTATGAATCTTTACATATTAGAAGATAAATATTAACAATTTTCTTTTTTAAGAGTTAACATACTGTGAAGTGCCTTTCTGAAACACAAAGTTCTCCCCTAGCAAGCTGATGCAACTCTAGAATAAATATATTTGCAGAAAACAGTTTTCTCATTTATACTATTATAGCCATATCGCTTCTCTAAGGAAATATAAATATTGCTACTATGTGCATAAATGTATTAGGAAGAAAATCATAGTAGAAGAGTTGCCTATGATGGAAAATGTAATAAAAATGTTTCCCCTGATAGAATTAAAAACTATGCATGTCACTGTAAATGAAGAGAGAGAACTTCAGAATCAAGAGTTTGGGGCTATGGCTGGGGTGCTGTTGATTATTCTTAGTTTGTTACTAATTCTGATTACCTTCAGGCACTAGGGTAGTCACACAAATAATTGAATGCATCTTTCATTTGCAGAGTTCACAGTTCACAGCGACTGTGGGAAGAACTCAGAGCACCTGGATACTGTAATACCCCAGCCAGAGACCTATGACCTGGTGTCGGCATTGGGGGAATGGGTCCCATAAATGGTTGGTGTTCTTAAAATACAGTATGTTCGCTTCAATTCACAAAAAATCAAACCCCCCATTTCAAATGTGGATTCCAAAAAAGAAGCAAATATTGTAAATCTGAGTTCATGAGGAAAGCTTCAAGAACAAAGTCTTGTAGAAAGGGAATAAATATAGCAGTTATTTTTTAAAAAGCAGACACAGGTTAATACAATTTTCAACATGTCTTTCCTTTGTGTCCTTCATATTATTCAGAAAAGGGTTATTTAAAAAAAAAAAAAACATACCATAGCTCTTTATCTTGCCTTGGCTGACCCACTTATAGTTTGTAAACAGGTGAAAATGTGCCTGGCCAAAAGCTTGTCCTTCCTGTTCCTCAAAGTCAGTATTATTTTTATGGTATGATGCTTACAGACTCCCTTTCTTAGCACTTTTTCTGCTTTGTGAATTTCTTCCCAAATATTTTCCCTTCCCATAATGAAAGAAAAGTCCCCAAGCCCTACCAAATACTTGGTTTAATCAATGAATCATTAGCCTGTATTGATGGTGTTCTTAATTTTCACTTAATGGCAAGATGAACCATGTGCCCTTTGTTGGGGAGCTCTGCCACAGAAGAAGGAATTTTTAAAAGTATGTCTCGGAAGTAAAATAGAAAAAATAGTCATGCTTAATAATGTTTGCGCCAGCTAATGAATTCCATATTTAATAAGTAGACAGTAGCCAGTCTTTTACTAATCAATACTTCCTAGTATATCCCATCTCCTTACTTAATGCCCCACTAAAAGTATTACTAGATCTGAATCTGAGATACTGTAAATTATCCCTCTTCCCTCCTCTCCATAGCATCCTTCCACCAACACTTACAAAGCAAACAATATTCTAAAATAAGTAAAGAACAACTGTAAGTGGGTTCCTAAAATCAGCCCATCTGTCTGATTCCCAGCACTTGTAGGTAACTTCCTTTATCTCTGGTTTAGAACTCTCAAAGCAACAATGCCAAAATACTTCAGAATGATTTTTTTAAAAAATTATGCTTATCTATGAAGCAGCAGAAGTAAGAAGTAGACCAAGTAAGACTGTAGACCTTTGTTCCAGGAAGATGACTGAAGTTCTGCTGGAAGATTCTTCAGTCTTGTGGAGTGAACTTTTGTGGCAGTAACACAACCAGGCCTGATGAGAAAAGCAGATCAAAGAAACTAAAAGTGGAGTCTGTGGTTCAATTATTTATGATGATACTGCAGCTGTATTGATCAGAGGCAGTTTTCTCTCTTGCCTTCCAGAAGCTGTCTACCCAGAGAATTGTGCTCCAGTCTGCAAATGCAGGTGGTAGCAGAGAGGTGTGAGTAGCTAACCAGGACCTTAGTTACAAGAAGACGGGTTACCCAATATAGTTCGACCATATCTAATGACAAACAAACTGATGATCTCTCCACATATCTCATTTCCTAAGAAAGAAATGGTATATCATTTCACCTTGTACCCTGCAGGAAAAAAAGGTTCTGCCCTACCTGCCAAGATCATATTACCTCAGCATCAAAAAGCTCAATACAAAATGGAAGCTTTCAAAACACAGCATGGGGGCTGGGGTTGTGGCTCAGTGGTAGAGTGCTTGCCTGGCATGCATAGGCACTGGGTTTGGTCCTCAGCACTGCGTAAAAATGAAGATATTGTGTCCACCCAAAACTAAAAAAAGAAAAGCCCACAGCTTGATATTAAAAGGACAGTAAGATTTTGCAAATTTTATTTATTGTATTCCCTGCTGAACCTTTACTGCCAGGCACACAGTAGGTGGTCAGCCATGTTTAATTAACTATTTATTTAATGAACTATAAAGAAATGTTGTTGGAATATTGAGATTTTAGGCACTAAAGGCCTAAATCCTTGTCTCACAGCTTGTCTTAGGAGGCCACTGGCTTAGCTACAAGTAAACCAAACTGGTCTTGATGGTACATTGAAAAAAGAAATTTAAAATTTTTCTTGAAATTATGACATAAATAATTTTTTATCCAGAAAAAAAGGCATATTTTCCATTATGAATCTTTACATATTACAAGACAAAGGATAGCTGTCCTAGCCTTCCTCCTAGGCAAAGTCCTACTTGCCAGAGGAATAACTTACTCCTGCAGGCTGAGGATGAATATAGGATAAGTGTACACAGTTTCCACTTTGCCATTTCAGAAACCTCTAAGGCAAGGATTGATCCTTTGCATTGATACAAACAGTCCCAAGGAATTTGCTATCCTCTTTGAGCCAAAGATTGGGATAAACCTCTGAAGAAAGGGAAGTATTAGAAGATACACTGTCATTTTCATCTCAAGGGAAGGGGGTTTTGAAAACTTTGTTCTTAATGCTACTGAGGTGATTAGCATTCCATTATTCTATTTGGAAGGTGAGGTTGAGGGGAGTTCCTGTTCTGAAGTAGAAGAAAAAAAAAATGTTGGTAGCTGACCAAACTGATTTATTCCAATAGGGAATTCTTAGAATTTACTCCAAATGATTTTTGGAAAACCACCTAGGGAAAGGCATATTGTGATATATTTCTATTGTAGACAACTTTGGCTAATGTACTGCCTTTCTTCCTAATAAAAAGCACCTTATGGAGTTAAATAAACAACCACATTATAGAAAGAGGAAAACATAGGTGTTCCTGGTGTTCTGATAGAATTTAAATTGAGTTAAGAGTCCAAGAAATAATCAGTTTCCAACAAAAGCCTATAATGGCATAAATTTTGGATCTTGAATCAAGATGACCGTCAAAGTTCATGCTAATATCTCTGCCTCTCCCACTAAAATTTCAACAATTGATGGATATTTAATTTTTAAATCCATAGCAGTACTAGAAATGCAAATGGAAACACTGGTTGGGACAGAAATTTTACAAGGAATCCCTAAAATATGTGAGGCAGATGAAATAATATCAACAGATTTTAATATATAAAAATAATATATAAAAATAATATATATAAATTAATATATTTTAGCTGGATATTAATAATACTCACCTAAAAGTGGTGGTGCTGACTCAGAAAGGGTACAGACAGAAAACAGCAAGAGCCCTGGGCTGCCAGAAAGTGGTCTCTAGACATTGAAGCAAAAATGCTCCATCCATCAGATTGAGGAATGTGTTATAGAATTAAAAAACCAAGAAGGATATAAACCAGGTGAAATTACACTGGAAAAATTATCAGTATAACACATTCTGTTTTTAGATTAAAAATGGAAACCATACAATCATGTAAATAGATGTTCCAAAAAGACATTTGATAAAATTCAGTATAATAAAAGTTTCGTTCACATACTAGGCTTACAAAGAAACTTCCTAGCCCCCCAAAATAAATGAATATATATTTAAATATATAATTTTTTTTAAATGGTATATAATTTTACCCCATGTTCAGCAAAGAACCATTTCCATTAAAGTCAGAAATAAAACAAAAATGGCTACTATGGCTTCTGCTATCCAACATTATATCAGAAGTTCTAGCAAGTAAAATATGGCAAAACATGTCTTCAAATATTGGCAAAGAGGAGGAAAAAATGGTCTATATATAAATTCAGATTATATAATTGTCTTTTTAAAGAATTTCCAGCAGAATCAACTAAAAACCACTAGAAATAGTAAGATTCCAACAAGAGGACCACAAACCAGATCAGCAGGCAAAATCCAGAGCTTTTCTAACCACTAGCACTTTCCATAAAGCTACATACTGAAAAAAATATCCTAGTAAGTTATAAATACTAATACTTGAGACCTTCCCTAAGGGTTATTATTATAACAGATGACCTGAATAAAAAGATATACAATGCTATGTTATTGGATAACAAGACACCACAGAGCAAACATCTATCTTCTTTTGTTTAAATCAATAAGTCTAAGATATTTAATTAATATCTCCCTTTCAGAAAAAAGTTTGCTGATTCCCACACTATACCACAAAAAGTCTCAATGTTTTAAAAAATATTGAAATCATCCAAAAGATGGTCTTTGTTTAAACGACTGGGTTAAAAATCAACACAAAAAATATAAGAAATCTAAAGAATTTGGAAAAATTTGGAAATTAAACAATGGACTTGTAAATAATCCATGTGTAAAGGAAAGATCACAAAGAAAAACTAGAAAATATTTCTAACTGAATAAAAACAAAAGCAAAACCTATGAAAGTTTATGGAATATAGCTTAGCTACATTCATATTACAATATGTAATAATAGAGAATGAATGCTTTTACCCCAAATTTTGGAATAAGGCAAGGATCTTGCCACATTCACTCAATATTGTACTAAATGTTCTAACCAGAGCAATAAGGCAAGGAAAATAAATTAAAAGCACCCATATTAGCAAGGAAAAAACTTAATTTTTCTTTAATCACAGATGATATAATAATCTACATATTATTTACTCCCAATAATATTTAAAAGAATAAAATAACTAGCAATACATAAATAAAAGAAGTGTAATATCTGAACACTAAAAGCTATAGGTCATTGCTGAAAGACAGTAAATAAAATCTCAATAAATGGAGATATTCCAATATTTAAAATCAGATTATGAGATTGCGTAACTCCACAATTTAATTATAAACACAAAACTATACACTTTCAACTGATTAACTTTATGATAGTAAATTATATACCTCAGTGAAACTGTTAAAGAACAGAGAAATATCTTTTAGCTTTTAAAAATGTTTTTATTAGTGCATTGTAGTTATACATTATAGTAGAGTTCATTTTGGCATAATCATACATGAATGGAATATAGTTTGCTCCATTTCGGTCTCTTGTACTTCCTTCTTCTCTCCTATACTTCCTCCTCCTATTTCCCTTCCTCTACTGGTCTTCTTTCTAGTTATTTATTGTTTTTTTCAATTGGTGCTTTACAGATATAAAGGTGGAATTCATTGTGATATATTAATATATGTACACAGCGTAATTTGGTTGATTTCATTCCAAAACTCCTCCATTTTCTTGTCCCTCCTCCCTTTTCCTCAAGCCCCTTCCTCTTCTTCACAGGTTTTCCCTCTATTTTTGTGGCATCTACCTCCCTCTTTTTCCCTCTTTATCTTCTGCATTTGAAAGAGAACATTTGACCCTGGACTTTCTGAGTCTGGCTTATTTTACTCAACATGGTAGTTCCACTCATTTACCAGGAAATGCCATTATTTCATTCTTCTTTAAGGCTATATTTACTACATTTTCTTTATATATTCATCTGTTTACGGGCATCTTGGCTAGCTTCATAACTTGGCTATTGTGAATTATGCAGTTATAAACATTAATGTTATTGTATAACTACAGTATTCTGATTTTAGCTCTTTTGAATAGATATCAAGGAATGGGATAGCTGGGTCATATGGTAATTCCATTCCTAGTCTCTTGAGGAGTCTCCTTATTGCTTTCCAAAATGGTTGTACTAATGTTCGTTTCCACCAACAATACATGACTGTATTTTCCCCCCACAGATTCGTCAGCATTTATTATTATTTGTATTCTTGGTGATTGCCATTGTATCTAGAGTGAGATAAAATCTTGATGTAGTTTCAACTTGCATTTCTATGATTGACAGGGATAGTGAACATTTTTCATATGTATTTTGGCCATTAAATAATTTTTATAGGTACTAGAATGTATTTATATTTTGAAATAAAAACTGCAGTAAGTGTGAGGGTTTATGAAAACTAAAATGTTTTAAGATTTCTTGTTTTAATCTCTTTAAAAAGTTAAACATTGATCAACATAGATTTTAACCTTAAAATCTTCACAATACAATTTCTTCATTTGATGAAATTTTCTTCATTTGATGGAAATTGTCAAGGAGCAGATTTTCCACAACAAGGAACCCTTTAATATTTTGGTCTGCTCAGTGTGAAAAATTCACACATCACATAATCCCTCTATTAACTATCTTCCTCTTAAGTGGGAAGTTCCCTATGAAGCAGCATCTGTTATGTTAATTTCATTGTTTTTTGAGGAATATGAATTAACTTTGGGTGAAGTAAAATAATCTATATGATATTAATTTTTGTTCTTAGAAGAAAGTGAAATTAAAAAGCAACTTTTATTGAATAGCTATTGACTGACCCTATGTCTTTGAAATCCATGCAAAGAATTTCAGGATAGATTTCAATGTGGTCTTCATTTTGTATACCTGTCTTTATTTATTTATTTTTTGGT